GTGTTGGTCATCTTTCTGTCGAGACCCCGATCTGCTCCTTCATGTCAAAAGCCTTTGGAACACGAAGGAATTCGCCACCTGATCCCACGTGTTGCGAGTGATTTCTGCCAGCTCATCATTTATTTATTTTGGGAGTCTGTTAAAACCTTTTGGTTTTGGCGCCAAGACATTTTTGTTTCTTCAGTGTTGTCTTCTGCGATTTCGGACTTTGGTGTCACGCTTGGAAAGACTATCACAACCTGGGAGTATAAAAATAAATCTCCCGTGTTTCTCCTACCTCTTTTATAGCTTCGTTTTAAAAATTATAACTTAGAGCCACATGGAATTTATTTTCACTTGGAGCATCAAACCAGAGACCCACTCTCACGCTTGCCGGGTGTCTACTCAGTTCCCCCAGCATTTAGGGAACAACCGGTTTCTCGTCCACTGATTTGAAATGCTCCTTCTATTTTATACTATTTTCCTGAGTGTTTTTTAGCCTGTTTCTGTTCTGTTGCTCTGTCTGCCCGTGTATGTACTAGGAGGGAGTGCTGTTGATTTCTGTGGTTTGTATTACATTTTGTTTTGTTTTATTTTATTTAATTTTTTAGACAGAGGGGAAGGGAGAGAGAAAGAGAGGGAAACATCAATGTGTGCTTGCCTCTCGTCCCCCCTACTGGGGACCTGGCCCACCACCCAGGCCTGTGCCCTGACTGAGAATCGATCTAGAGACCTTTTGGTTTGCAGGCCGGCACTCAGTCCACTGAGCTGCACCTGCCAGGGCTGCGTTATGTTTTAACATCTTGTGAGAATAGCTCATTATTTTACTCCCCTGGAGTTTTCTTGGCTGTTCTTGTGTGTTGAATTTTCCACATAAATTTTAGACTCAACTGGCCCATGTTAACTGGAATGGGGTGAGGCGCTCAAAGTCTTTGTTTAAGAACTCTAACACATTTCTTTAGCTCGTTCCTGGAAGAGCCGAGGGGAGCCTCAGAGGGCCACCGAGGTTCACTCCTTGGAAGAGGCAGGTGTCGGTTAAAGCCTGTCTGCAGGGCAACGTGAATCACTTAGACCCCAGTTTATTCCGCCTCTGGGGCGTGAAGGGTACTTTCCTCAGGGTGCAGCGGGGCCTTGCCAGGTCCTCCGCCTGCGAGGCTGGCCTTTGTGCTGTGGGACACTGTCCTCTGTCCTTTGCAGCTGCCCCGGAAGCAGGACCTGTTTCTCCTTCGGGTTTCGCTGCACTGATCCCGGCACCAGGCCCTCTCCCGACCTCTCCTAAACCGCATCGCTGCCTGGAGGCTCCACCGCCCCTCACACCGGGGGCCGGGGCTTCGACGCGTGCATTTTACGGGGGCACAGTTCAGTGCAGAGCAAACCCCATTCAACCTACCGCACGGACGGATCGAGGCCTGTGCACTCTCCTTTCTGTCTCTCGTTCCACTGGCTTTCGTTTTCTCTGGTCCTCCAGGCCCCGAAGCCTTTCTCTGCACCTCCCTCCCTGGGGACAGGCAGTGACATCCAACGTCCAAGGAAAGGCGAGGATGATGCTTAAATTAAAGATTCCCAGAATACGCAAAGCACCTTTGCAACGTCCCCTCGGAGGCCGTGGCCTGCGGAGGCAGAGGGACCCAGGGAGCCGTGTTGGGCCAGGACGCGCGGCAGAGCCTGTAGCCTGGGCCGCTCTCCTGTGGCTCCTGGTTGGTCACTAATGTCCTTGCACATTGCGGGGGGTAGAACGGGTGGCGAGGCCTCACCCCCAGAAAGCCCCCCTTAGAAAGAAGACCAGCTGTGGATGCGAGCATTTATTTACTGAGATTTCCTAAAACGCCAGCTCTGACACCTTTACATTCAGAAGCACTTGCTCCTCTGTTGCGCCGTCTCTTTCTGGGCACTCAGTCCCACATCCCTGCTGCCCCTGCCGCCCATCCAGACGTCTCCAAAGCTCGCGGGTTCTTCAGGGGCCGGAAAATTGAAAAAGAAAAAAAAAGTCCTGCCCGGCTGGGAGAGGTGAGTCTCTACGGTCAGAGGAGCTGGGGCGGGGCGTGGGGGGCGGGCAGCACGGGTCTTGCTCCCAGAACTGCCACTGGGACAAATATTTACCGGGAGTGGCTTTGCGTGACGGCCTTCAGGTCAGTGTTTGTCCAGACTGAACCGGAGGCCTAAGGAGACACACAAGGAGGGAGGAGATTCTTGACCCTCCCGGTGGTACAGGCTGTTCCGTGGCACTGTTATGTAAGCGCTCAGGAATGACAAATAAGGCCATGCGCACGGGCAGCTGCCCGGCCCTGTGACCGCGGGCCTGGCCACCCCCCTCCCGGGGACAGCGCACTTTTCATTCGATGGCACCGTGTGGCCACAGCCATGGCAGAGGAGAAAACCCTGGTTAAAAAGAGCATTTACATTTTTCTGTAAAATGTACATTTTACATTTTACACCGGGCTGCCTGTCACGGCAGGGTGCGGTGTGCGTGGGCGCACGGGGCTCACGTAGCGACCGGAACCCGCCGTGCGCGCTCGGTTCCACGACGGGCCCCGCGCGCACGGCCCCGCGAGACAGAAGGCGAGCGCGGCCCGGGGCTCCTTCACGGGTCGGCAGGCACCCCGTCCATTATCCCAGCTTGAGTGGCACAGTGTGGTTTCAGCCAACAAGGAGGGTTCAAGGTCAAGGGTACGCGGCAGCAGCAACCCTCTGCAATTCAACCCGGAGGGCGCACGACCCAGAGAGCTCCTGGGACCCTGCCTGGGTCCAGCGTGCAGGTGACGCGCAGGTGGTGGAGGGGGAGCACCTCTGGCGCCGGGCGTCCCAGCTCTGTCCCCAGGCATCCCAGCTCTGTTCCGTACAGGTTGTGTGACACCGGGCATTTCACTTCACTGAGCCTGAGGGCGTGGCCCCACCTCGAAGCGGAGCGGCCCTCCTGCCCGCAGGGACCTGGAGGCAGAGGAAGAGCTGCTGACACGGCCTGGTCCCTCACCGCTGTGCCCGGGGCAGCGGCCCGACCAGCGAGACAACAGGCCTCTTTGCTGCTGCCCCCGCGCTGCGGGGAGGCCGAGGCCCTGTGCCTTCCAGGTGGCGCCTCTGCAGCGCCCACCCGCGGGCGCCAGCTGCCTGGGCGCCTCCCTGCCCCGCGACGCCTGCGTGGGCAGCGCCCCCGGCCGGACACCTGCCTGGGAGCAGCCCCGCCCGGTCCCGCTTCCCTCCTGCCTTCCCGGGACGGGGCGTGGGACTGGGCACCCCCACCTCGCAGGGGAGGCAACGGCAGCTCTCATAGGGCAGAGACTTGCCCGGGCCACTCCCTCGGGCCAGCGTTGGAGTCCCCGACCAGGTGGCAGCGCTGGCAGGGCCGTGGTCCGGCCACCCTGGGGCAGGGAACAGCAGGAGCCTGCAGGGAACTTGGACCAAGATTCACACGTCGTCAGCGGCTGGGCTGATAACTGAACAGGAAACACAGTGCTGCGTTAGGATTCCTCAGGGCACGAAGAATAAACAGTGGGAGTTCTGTCCCTGTCCCTGCCCCTGCCTCCCGGCCCCTCGCAGCGCCAGCCCTCCCTTCCTGGGCACCCCCGAGCGGCCCTCCGGCCCGCACGGGCAAGAAGTGGAGCTGCGATTTTCCCCTGGCGTGTTCCCGTAGACGGAGCGTCTCTCCCCGCTGCGCTGTTTGGGTTGAAGGATACATCCTGCAGGTATTTACACTCGGTGCACAAGTAGCTTCCTCGTTCTTTTTCATGGCTGCGCAGTTTTCCACTCTGTTACATTATCAAAATGTAACCCACATACCACGAACATCACTCACACACAGTGCGCATTTCAGTGGCTTTGGAGGACTTGTGTGACCAGCACCAGCCAGTTTATTGCCCTGCCCCTAGCCCCCACCGCATACCGAGGCAACAGCCAAACCGCCCTCTGTCTTTATAGATTTTTGACATTTCGTATAAATGCAAGTACATGCTATGCTGACCTTTGTAACTGACTTCCTTCACTTAGCATAATGTTTCCAAGGTTTATCTACTTTGTAACAGGTATTATTGTTCTTTTGATTGCCCAGTAATATTCCCTTGTGTGAACAGACTACGTTTGATTTCTCCACCGTCAGCCGCTGGGCACCCCGGCTGTTCCCGCTCTTTAGCTGCTGTGGCTGGTGCCGCTGTGAGCACTTGTGTACAAGTGTTGTCTGGGTGTGTTTCTGTTTCTTCTGCGTACGGGCCTTGGAGTTGCTGGGCCACGTGGCTGATTTTATAATTTACTTAGCTAGTCCCCCAGTGATGTAAACTTGATCAAATGACACTTGAAAAGCCACAGCCCTCGCCAGTTTGGCAGCTCATGGTCCTGTCAGCGAGGATTCGGCAGAAATGGGACCAGGAACCGGGGCTGCATGACCGAGCCTTCCCAGAGCTGGGATAACTTTGCTTCCCTCCCCGTGTGGCCTGTGACGTGCAGCCTGGCCGGGGGCCGTGGCCCGGCGGCCCCCGCGGGGCCCGCAGCCTGTGCTGCGCCCTCCTGCGCCTCCCTGCCTGGCTTCCGCCTCGAGGAGACAGTCTGAGGGGAAGGTGGTGACTCTTGCCCACGGAGTTTCCTGGCCCTATGACAACGGGCCTCTGTCACACCTGACCCAGGGCCACGCCTGCAACAGGTGCAAAACAGGGCAGTTCAGGAACCGTCCAGGCCGTAACCTGTGAGCCAGCCGCAGGGACAGCCCGTCACCGCAGGGCCAGGGGGCCTGCGGGCGCTGGAGGAGGCTTGGTGCCGGCTTGGTCCTGAACACGTCCCTAGCGTCAGACGGCCTCAAACGAGCTGAGGCCGGGCGGTGCCGTTCATCCCCAGCCCACTGGAGGCGGACGGGCTTGGGTCCTCGGACTGCCTGAGTGAGAGGCTGTTCGCCCGGTTCACTCTGCTGAGCTTCTGTTGGGTGCCTCCCTGCCGTTCTTGGGCTGCTCGGGGACCTGGGTGCAGCCGGACTTCAGGGGCGTTGTGACCATTTGCAAAGCGGGGTCCCCCTTCATCGACTTCCCAGGAGGCAAGGAACTCCCCCCACCCCATGGAAGGTGAGTGTCCTGAAGCCACAAAAGGACGGGCAGCCCTGGCGTGATATGTCTCCTTCATATCAGGACGTGAGCAGGCGCCACAGGTGAAGGTGTGTCTTCTATGGGGTGATGGGTTTACCCGCTACAGGCCACCTTGCTCACTCTTATTATTTTCAAAACTGAAAGGTAAAGAACAATGAACTTCACAAATTAAGACAGTGAGCGTCTTTCCTGCGGAAAAAGGGCTGGTTTTAAAATAATTCACTGTTCTATAGTTTTAGCTGGGTGTTTTTTATGTGCTTGAACGTATCCCATCATTCTATAACAATTCGCAGAAAGTCCTATGAGGTCATACATGTTTAAACATCCAAGTTTAAACATGTCCTCTTGCCCTAATTAAGTTTATGATACTTCTGTCGGGTTGATTCGTTTGCTAGTAATTAGGGGACGTCCCCCTTCTTTACTTAAAGTTCACGAACATCCTCCCAACTGTGGTGTCAAATTCCTGATGGTTGTGTGTCTTGAGTGACCAATTCCATGTAATTAAATCTGTTAATTTGGGCTTTGTCAGATGTGATTTGTAGAGCTATTTTTAACAGGTGTCTCTCTTATCTAAAAGCAGTGAGTTTCTTCATGCGTTCTGACAATTAACTACCCTGGAAAACACCAGCTGCTCTTACCCTTGCGTCAGCGCGACAATTAGCAACGGACAAACGTCCGCAAGGACGCGGCCATGGTGTCCCCGCGGCCCACGCTGCCGCGGGCTGCGGGGCGTGTGCTGTGACTTGTCTGGACACAGCTGGGCTCGCAGAGAGCACGGACGGGGGCTGGAAGCAGGAAAGCTCGGGGGAAATGCCTCACAGTTTCGTCCACGCCTTCTCTGGCTTCCTCGGTTCCGTTCCCACCGGCTCCTCTAGGAGAGAAAACAGTTTAGAATTAAACAGCAATTAAGATCTTAATCGCCTGGTCTCGGGAGGGTGCACGGCGTCTTTACCCAAGGGCATGTCACCGAGGTGGCCAGGAAGGTGCCGCGCGTACTCTCCCGGCTTTAAATCACTTCCTTTCCGAAACTGAGTGCGCACGGTACAAAATGTGCTAACAGGCATCCGTGAAAGCACAGCCCCCCGCTTCCCCGGCGCAAGCACAGGTACCGATTGCCTGTGTATTCCCCCAGGGATGTTTTATCCATGAACGTCCAAGCTTCAAGCAGGTAACGTAGTCCCCCTTTTACTTACATGTCTGATTGTCACATTATATCACAGTTGGGTTACTTTTTATTAATTAATACTTAGTACCCAAAAACCTCTTCATCCATCTTATGGCTGCACAGCAGCACTGCTTGGAGGTTCCCAAATGCAGCCACCACCCCCGAAAGCGGCGCTGCCCAGGCTGGCCCTCCGCGTTGGTCGTCGGGCCGCAAAGGCTCACCTGATCCGCGCAGGGTCCCAAACTCGTTCCGGGCCACCTTCAGGATAAGGCCCTCCAGGTGGAATTGCTGGATCAAAGGGAAGTGCGTGTGTAACGTCGGCGCCCCCTGGGCCGGCCGTAGGGACCCGCACCCGCAACAGCAGGCCCGCTCAGGCCCACGGTGCGGCCGCGCGGCGTGTGCCGGGACTCGGCGGACCTGCACACCCCGCAGATACCAAAATGCTGTCTGGTTGTGTTTGACTTTGCACGTTTCTTATTATGAGTAACACTGAGAAGCTTTTTTCACGTTCAAGGTCCCTTTCGTTTTCTATAACTTAACTGTCCCTACCCTCAGCATATATTTTTCTACCAGGGTTTTGGTTTTTTTCTCCCAGAACAAAAAGTGATTAAGAGAAATTCAGTGGTGTAAATTGTAATTGTTCTTGTTTGTCACTTATTCTTGGCTTGACAGCGTGCAATAACGTTCACGTTTCTACGCAGTTGAATTTAACATTTCTTTTCTTTTTCTTCTTTTCACCCCCTCTGGATTTTTGTGTTGTGCTTAGAAACAGATACCTGCTCCGGGATGATGAAGGAAAAACTCTACCATTTTTTCTAGTACCTTAGGTTGTTTCTTTTTTTTAATGTTAAAATCTTTGATCCCTTGGCACTGTTTTTGGACATAATGTGAGAGACGTAGACCCAGTGCTGTGCTGCTGCAATGCTCATTGAATAGCTCGGCTTCCTCTCACCGAGCAGCAAGGGCCCGAATGCTGATTCCCGGCCTTCCGATGGCATTTCGCTCTGTCCCATTGGTCTGTGGCCGGCATCACACTGTTCCAGCTGTAGCGTGTTTGCAGGGGGCCTTTTTGGGGAGAGCTGCGCCTGGTTCTTCAGCGCCATCCACAGCCACGACAAGGCCCAGCGAGCGCAGCTGGGCTGTGGGCAAGTAAAATAGTTCTTCATTACAAAACCGGAAATTATTCCCCTGACCAGCGAGTTTTACATTTCTGGCTACGCTAATTTCCATCCATCACCTTTTTATCCCCCCACATTCTTTCTAGTTAGTCTTGACCGTTAATTTTTCCATAGGCGTAGTTTGTCTAGTTCGCAAAGATTCTACTGACATTTTTATTGCAATTATGTTGTGCAGATTATTTGAGAGACAATGGACATCTTTATGATGCCTCATCTCCTATTCCAAAACTTGGCATTTTGAACCGTTTTGGGTCTTAAAAGTGCATCGACACGTAGGGCGCTGGGCTCCTCTCCTTCAGCAGAGAAGGCCTCTTCCCGCGTTCCTGCGCTCGCCACCCGTGTGGCGGTCTCGCGGCCACTGGCCTGGCCAGGCACCCTCAGCCCGGGACGCTGGGTCTCATCCGCATCTTTCTGTTTCTCAGGGGTCAAGTGCCCTCCCCAGGGAGCCCCCAACCAGACCCCGGCGGCCACCCTCCTGGGGCACCTGCTGAGGGACCACCTGGAGGGCCGCAACGGCACCAACTCCACCAGAGCCCTGAAGCTTCCAGACGGGACCAGCGCCGCCTGGTACATCCTCACCATCATTGGCATTTACGCAGTGGTTTTCCTCTTCCGCTTGGCCAGCAACATCCTCAGAAAGAACGACAAGTCCTTGGAAGACCTTTATTACTCCAATTTGACCTCCGAACTCAAAAAGAAAGGCCTCCAGGGCAAGGCGGTTAAGCACTCCGCACTGCCCATTGGCGAGAGAGCCGCCCTGCCACCCAGCCAGGCCAGCCTGGCCCCCACGTGTGCAAGCAGCGGAACCCAAACCGAGATCCAGGGGATCCCTTAAGGCGAGGCAAGCAGGTCTCCATAGACGAGGCCCAGCCTTCCTGCGGGGTCGGCCGAGAGCTGCTTTGGCTTTACCTGGAACCTGGAGACAGGGCTCAAGCCCCCGAGGGGGCCGGAGGATCTCTGCGGAGCCCTGGGCACTCCCAGCGGGTGGCACACACGCGAAGCCTGCGTCCTGTGTCCTTCGCAGGCTTTCTGGTGCTCTGAGATGAGACCGCAGCAGCAGTGGCTTCCGGCCAGACTCTCCCTGCCCCGGAGAAGCTTGTGTCCCGGGGAGGGTAAGGGACGCCCACTTTTCTCAGAGGAATCTGGGAGACTCCTAGGGTGTCCATGAAGGTGGCCTCTTGTCTCAGAAGGCTGACTTGGGAGCCCAGGCCCTGGATGAAGTGTCAACTTCAAGGGGCTACGTGAACGCTGAGAGGCTGGCAGCTCACCTGGGGCACGTGGGGACTGGGACATGTGGTCCCGCCGGCCATTCCTTCTGAGGCCTCCGGCTGGAACGCAGAATGCAGTCGTTACTATCAGAAGTTCGTCAGATGTTCTTCATTTTCATTTAAAGAGAGGGACCCACTGGAAAAAAGCGTCAGAAGAACCAAACTCTAGTCTGGGCTTCACTATCTGCCCCTGGGGTGTGAATCTCGGCTTCCGTACAGATAAAACGAAGGCAACGACGCCAGTTCTGCGGACCTTACAAGCAGAGGAGCGCTAACGAGACCATGCACCTGAGTGTATTTTGAAAATAAAATAAACAGTACGGTACGTCTTGCGGTGGTGACAACGGCAGATGCTGACGGTGGCGCTGGTCTTGGTGCTGATGGCGGACGCTGGGGGCGATGGCAGCTGACGTTCGTACTCGGTGGGGGGGGGGCTGTTGTTGGGGAGGCCGAGGCAGGCGCTGGTGGCGGTGGTGACGCGTTTGTGAGACGGGAAAGAGCTCGCCCGCTGGCGGCGCGTCTGCCGGGGATGGCTGCCCCGCCTCACGCTACCGGAGGACCTGTCTGCACTTACCAGCCGATGCCCCGTCCTCCGGGTCGGGCTGACGAGACGGAAGGTTTCCATGTGGTCGCTTTTCGTGTTCGTCACTTGAGACTCATCCTGGTGCTTTACCAACACTCGTTACAGAAATAAGAGAGCTTGTGGTCGGCCGAATTCCTGCACGTGCCTCTCAGCAGGCACAGGGAGGAACTCTCTTTCGTGCCGCCGTCTGTGAAGGTCATCTGGTTTGGCTTTGGGTGATGCCCCTGGACTGCAGGCGGACACTCGCAGCGGCCTGCAGCCAGCCCCCCGATTCTGTAAAGGTCGGAACGCAGTCCCAGGCTTTCGTTCCTGGAAGGAGAGAGGCTCCCACGTGTTCTTCTTTCTGTCTCTCCTCCCCCTCCCCTCCCCCAAGGTCTCCACCCCGAGCACTGCTTGAGCACTGCTTTGTTTAGACAGCGACGGTGGCCTGGTCCGCAGGCCCTCTCAGCGCCGCCCCGTTGCAGGAGCACAGTACGCGTGCACGGTGCGCGCAGCACTTCCTTGGACCACGACAGCCCCCTGCGCATTTTCAAGGGCCTCCCGAGCTCTTTCTACTCAAAACCCTTGTGACTCCAAACGTGCGGGTGTTCCACGCCCACACCCAGGGCTCCCGCCGCCCAGCCCCCGCTGCATGCCCTGCGGTTCCGTTTGGTTCCGACGCCAGCAGGCCAGGCCCAGCACAGACCCCGCAGGCTGGGGGCTCTGTCCACAGACACACTGCTTCGGGGGCCGCGTCAGGTCCCCAGCTGCCACCTGTGCTTCTGATCAGCTCCGTGTGAAGCAGGGCTTCCCACACCCCCTCTCAGGTTGGATAATTTGCCTGAAAGGCTCACGGAGCTCAGGGGAACACTTCACCCACTGGACTCCTGGTTTATCATGAAGGACACAACTCAGGAGCAGCCGGGTGGAAGAGACCATGGGCAAGGCGTGGGGGAGGGGCGCCAAGCTTCCACGCCTGCTCCCGGAGGACCACCCCGCCCCGCCCCGCCCCTCCCTGCGTTCCCCACCCAGAGCTCCACGAATGCCACTTCCTAGGGGACTGGGTGGCGGCCTCCGCAGGCAGGCATGGTTGGTTAAGGCATTAGCCTTCAGTGACTAATTCAGTCACCAGCCTCCCTGCCCTCGCAGGGGGTCAGCGGATGGTCCTGGTGCCTCAGGCCACCCGCCCCCGCCCCCTGCCATCTAGGGGCACTCAGGAAGTCCAAGGGTTTTAGAAGTTCTGTGCTAGGAACCGGGGACCAAGACCGAATGAATATCTGTTTCTCATTATCTCCCAGACACACAAAGGCCCAGGCACTGTCCTCGGGCGGGGACACAGAGAAACACCGCGTCCTGGAGAAGACGGTGTCCCAGGACCATGCACAGGGCCAGGGGTGAGCCAGGTCTCTGGGAGCAGGGAGGGCGGTGGGTCACCCTGTCCAGGAGGGGTGTGGGAAGGGGGCTCCGGGGGAAGGGCCAGCCGTCCAGGAGCCGGCTTGTGCTAAGCGTCTCCTACAGGGGGAGAGGCTCAGGGCGGCCACTTTCAGAAGGCGTCATGGCCTCTCTGAGGTCCCAGGTAGCATGGAGACGTCCCGCACCCCGGTTAGACGCTGCCTCCCAGGCCTGGCAGAGGAAGCGTCCCCCAGACTATGAACTCTCTGTAAGACAAGCGTACCCACACGCTGGTGATCTGGGATACCATGTTAAGGCAGAACCGGAAAACTGATCGGTAGACATGAGGTCAGGGCAGAGAAAGAGACCAAGGTTGGCCGTGCTCAGCCTGAGCAGCCCCGCCAGACACCGCGGAGACACGAGGTGAAGCCGACCAGCAGGATCAGTTGATGGGGATTCGATACAAGCCGTCCGTGTCAAGGGACGCCCCACGGCGGCCGTGCTGCCTCCCCATGGGCACAGACACGGACGGCCTTCGGGGAGCAGCGCTGAGGTGGGTCTCTGCCAGAGAGAGGCCGCGCTGTGGCCCCCCGCCCACGCTCCCGGGTGGGCTGTCCGAAGCCTGGCCTCGTGCCCACCGTTCCGAGCTGCACCTCGCCCAGGCCGGCACCTGCATGCGTGTGTGTTATTGGTACGAAACGCAGCGGGGAGCTGCCACCTCTCTGGGCCCTGCGGGGGCCTGTGCCCCCTCCCCTGCCGGCCCACGCACTGGGCACGGGGTTATGTTGGGAAGTGCAATGAGCAGAAAGCGCCTCCGCGGGGATCCCGGCTGGCGCTCAGGCTGCGCTCCCGGCTGGGCCGGGTGTCTGAACGAGTGTTGGGGAGACTTGCCTTGAGGACAGAGGACGGATCTGCTCCTGGGGAGGGAGAGGTGCAGGCCCCTCTGGGAGCCGGCGAGCCTGGAAGTGCAGGCGGGAACCTGGGATGCACTGTGGGGCTGCTTACAGCACAAACAGGGTGGGGGCTTCCTCCAAAAGAGCCTGGGGCTCCTGGCAGGCAGGTGAACAGGTGAGCCACACGCGTGGGGCTGTCGGGAGGGGGTTGGGGACTAAAAGCAGGTGGGCAGCCACGTGTGCCTTAAAGGTGCGGTGGGAAGGGGGAAAGCTGACACTTAACAAATGCGCCCAAACGCTAGGAGCTTTGACACATTCTAGCTGAGGTGGCCCTCTTAGGAGCTCCACGAGGTGGGCACTCTCAGGGGCCGAGGCCCAGAGAGCCTCAGAAATTTGGGCATCTACTGCCACGCAGCTGGCAGGGGCTGAGAGCCAGGCCTGTCAGATCCCAGAGTTGATGTGAGGCTTCCAGAAAGTCTTCGTCCAACATACACCTTCATTGTCGCTCACAGTGCGGAGTGCGCAGGCGACTAGTTCGGGGTCTGTGTACCTCTCTCTCACGTCACGTGCACAGAAGGCCCGCTGGGGCCCTGCTCCCTGCCGTGACGGTCCCCGCCCTGAGACCCAGGTCGCTGAGACACTGCTGGTCTCCACGCTGAGGGGAAGAGCTCTGGGGGCTCTCATGGTGATGGCCCAGGGCTCCAGCCTGGAGGGACCCCCTCACCTCCACCTGCCCCCTGGCTGGCCAGACTTAGCCCGCGGCGACTCCGAGCCACCCGGGGCTGGAGCAGGGTCATCCTTCCTGCCGTGTGTCTGGGGGTCGAGAGTCTGGAAATCTGCGTCCAGCACTAAGCAGCTGCTACATAGTGGAACCGGGCCCCCAAACCGCGGGCTAGGGCGCGATGTGTAGGCCCCCCCAAATCCGTGCATGGGAACCCTATGCTCTGCTGCGAGGGCTTTAGGAGGTCAGGCCTGGGGGTTAATTAGGTCACGGGGACACTGCCTTTATAAGAAGAGACACCAGATCTGTCTCCTCCTCTCTGCCCTCCACCGAGAGGCACTGTGATGGGGCGGGCTCTGCAGGGCAGGAGGTAGGCTCGCCCCACGCGGGTCTGCGGCCACCATGACCTCGGCCGTCCCAGCCTGCGGAGCTGGGAGCAGGGAGCATGTGTGGTTTGAGCCTCACACCCACCCCAGTCTGTAGACACTTGTGTCCGCAGCCGGAACGGACTAAGATACTGTGTTCCTGGAAGGAGGAGGAGCCCAGCCCTGTTCCCTCCTTCCTCTTTCTCATCCATAAGAAAGTCAAATGTTTCTTGCGCCCACTGGTGCGGCTCAGTGGACTGAGTGCCAGTCTGCGAACCAAGGGGTCGCCAGTTCGATTCCCAGTCAGGGCACAGGCCTGGGTTGCGGGCCAGGTCCCCAGTGGGGGACACGTGAGACACAACCACATATTGATGTTTCTCTCCCTCTCTTCCTCCCTCCCTTCCCTTCTGTCTAAAAACAAATAAATAAAATCTTTAAAAAAAAAAACCCTCAAACGTTTCTCTGCTGAGAATTCTGTATAGATGTTTACATGAGGGAAAAAGATACTCAGTTCACAACTAACGCTGAGGCCCCTGCCTCTCACACACGGACGCGCGCACACGTCCCCACGTGGACAGCCACGTTTGCACACATCTTTCTTGTCCCACGAGAGCAGGGCCTGACTTCGGGGTGAATGATGCTCGCCCTGCCTCTCCTTTTACTCCTGAGGGAAACAGGCTGGGGGCGAGGAGCGGCGAGGAGCGGGAAGAAACCCCTGGGCCTCAGTCGGTTCCCCTTGGCTCTAGAAAATGCAATAGAAGAATTTTTTTCCCAAGAATCCTTTCTATAGACAAAAAGAGGTGACTGGGGACACATGGGGACAAGCAGAGGCGGTCACACCTGCCCCCTCCTTCCTGAGCCACCTGTCTCCGGCCTGGCGACAGCTGTCGGGCCCCAAGGCCGCGGCGAGGACAGCCGGGAGCCTCGGGGGAGGGGCCGGCGCGCCCCTGGCACCGAGTGCCCTGACCTCACTGTCAACCCCCCAGTCTCTGGCCCTGTGCACGCCGACACTGTGCGGTGTGTCCGTCCTGCAGACGCAGGCGCGGGGCCGGGCCAGCGGGGGAGGGATGGGGCACGCAGCGCGCTCACGGGAGGTGCCCCTGCGGGCGGCTGGACGCTGCGGCACCCCGAGGGGGCCGGGGCCTGGCCTCGACAGTCTCCGCGCCAGCAAGACGCCAGCAGGATCGGACCGGCGCCCATGACGCCCGCGTGGGAGGGCGGCCGCGGGCCTGACGCTGCTCGGCCCTGGGGCCGAGACTGGGGGAGCGACTCGGACAGACAACTGTGGCGCTGCCTGCACCCCTGACCTTGTGGCATGAGACCCAGTGAGCACAGGCACCCACCCACGGGCGTGCGTGGCAACTATTCTCGTGTTGGGGGGTACACCTAGTTCACGAGTACTCCCTCTTCTGACGACGAGCGGGCTGAGCGGGCTGGCGTCGGTAGACGACCGGCCAGCGGAGCTGCGGCAGCGCGTCCTCAGTTAGGACTTCTTCCCTTGCTCTCTCCCAGGGAGCCGCACCGGTCAGCTTTCCGCTGTAGGCCCTCGGCTGCCCAGCAGTGGAGGAGGAGGGACTACAGCAGAGTTTTCTAGAAAGCAGGCAGTCTGAGTCACGGGGGAGCGGGCACAGCGGGCGTGACTTCAGGGGCTGGCCACGTTCTGCCTGCTGCCCGGGGAAGGGGTGAGGTGTTGCCTTCTAAGTCGTCATGGAGACTTATCCCTCCTGCCCTCTCCCAAACCTGCCAGGTGGCAGGTGCCTGGGGGGATGCATATCCATGCAGAGAAAGCCACCAAGGCGCCGCATCCGGGGAGGGCGGGAAGGGGGTCTCGGTGCCCGGTCTCCGGGGTGTGATGGTTTGTTCCAGTCCCGGCCCTACCACCTCGGGGTCCCGCCCCTGTGCTGGCTGGGCCTCTCTCTGGACGTGCAGGTGGGGGTCTCTGCAGGGGTGCCTGCTGGCTCGTCATGGGTCCTCTCCGTGGGTCCCTCTGAGGTTCCAGGACTCCACCCCAGTCACTTCCAAGGCCTGGCAGGCACCCTCGTGAAGAGAGGACACTGGGACACAAACCTGCGTTCACAACAGAGGGAAGACTGTGCGAGGCCACAGGGACAGGGCGCCACTGACAAGCCAGGGAGAGAGGCCCCAGGAGAGCCCAGCCCTGCCCACACCCTGATCTTGGACTTCCAGCCTCTAGAACGGTGAGGCAAGCTTCTGTTGCTTACATGAAGCGGCCTGTGATGTTTGGTTACGACGGCCCTAGGAGACTCACACAGCGGCCCCTTCTGGCCCGGACGTCTGGCGGAAGCAACACCAAGACTCACTATATGGATCACATCCCTGATTCCCGTATCGCACGCGTATTGCATCATAGAAGCCGGGGCGGGGGGGGGGGGGGAATTGTTCGGAATACGTGTTCCAAGGCGCTTCCCGAGCCCACGTGTGCCTGCCGGACAGGCCCGGCTGCCAGGGGGCCCTTTGTGAGGTCACCGCTGTGGCCGGAACTCCGCATGCAGAGCTGGGCAGGCTCTCCTGGGGGCCTGAGGTGCCGCCATGCCTCGCGTTGCCCACCCTCTTCTAAGGAACATTATTACCAGGATCCCGTTTGATGGCCACAGGAGGAAGCAGTGCCTGCAGTACCTGAGAGCCCTGCGCACGCTGCAGTACGACGGGTTTAAGACCGTGTACTTGGGGGAAACAGACATCCCCGAAAGTCTCGTCACTGGGGAAAAACCCAGCAACAGGCGCGTCCGGCCTGGTCCAGTCTGGAGCGTCGTGCACGCCGGCGGCGGCCAAGGGTGGGTGCCTTGGCACTACCGGATGTTCCTCAGGGACGAGCTGTGTGTCGGGCAAGAAGACAGCCTGTTCCTGGAGTTCTGCGACGCGGCCAAGAAGGCCCATGGGAAGTGTGCCATTGTGGTTAAGGGCGAAGGAGGGCAGGGTGCCGCGCAGCCAGAGGAGGACGAGGCGCCGGAGCCCCAGGCCCCGCCGGTCATTACCTTGACGAGCGTCGCGTGTCGTCTGGAGGTGGCCACGGCCTACGGCCACGAGCTCCTCTCGCTGCCTCCCCCTTACAACCACCTGAACCCTTTGGACTTGGCCTGGTCCTCTCTGAAATGGTTCATCATCAACCACAGGAAGGAGTTCTGCTTGCAGTCCATCGACGCCATCTATTCTTACCAGTACATACTTGTCGGCGACTTAATCAGCCGAGGAATTGAAAGGATAAACCCAAGCAAATGGAGAGCACTAGTGAACAAAGTGCGGAGGTGGGAGAACTACTACCTGGGGAAGTTTTCTTAAGGGGGAGGCCTCCAGCCAGTTGCCGGCCTGCGCTGCGAGTGAGCGAGCGTGGTCTTCCCCACCAGACTCCCCTGGGCTCGACTCGGACCCCGCAGCCCAATATCCGGTGGCGGCTCCCAGGTGCACAGCCAGGACCAGGTGCTTCCGGTTCATTAAAGCTTCTTGGTGCAGTAGGGGCCTCGACGCCCGTCTTGTGAAGGCCGCGTTGAGGGCTACCTTGGTGGGAGGGTGCGGGCCCACCCAGCACAAAGGAGCTTGGTGGTGAGGAAGGGTGAGCAAGGGTGAGCAAAACTAAAGATGGCGCGGTCAAAATTTAGGTCTCAGGAAAACAGAGAATCAAGTGGGCGGTCCCCCCAAAAGTTGGCACGCAGTAGTGTGCCAACCAGTGTCAGCCCACCCAAATCATCCACAGAGCGCCCGCGAGTCATCCGCACACACGTGCTACAGGCGGTGGCTGAACAGGCTCTCCTCTTCCCGCCGCTCGAAGGCAAGGTGGCAGGGGTGGGTGGCGGGGGGAGCCAGATGTATCCAACGAGGTGAAACCCCTTCCAGACAGTGGCAGGTTCGAGTGGGACTTGGTGGGGGAGGGGCTGGCGCGGACGGGGGTCTGCAGACCCCACTGAGCCCCCGCCCACCTCCCGCCCCAACTCCCGGACTCCCTCCGCCGTCCTGGGCCCCGACACCTGGGCCCCTGCCGCTGGGACAGCCGCTGGCCCAAGCCTGGGGCGGCTGCTCAGGTGGCTTGTGAGGATCGGGGTGGTATTTTTTGCTTTTATGGAAAATGCCCTGCCTCCGATTAAACATAAAGCTTACTCTTATTGATACATGTTCAGGCAGTAATTTTACCATAGAAGTCATTACACCGGGCTGTGTCAAATATAACTTATGAAAACGCCTCCCCAAGTCCTAACAGGCTCCACCACGCACGGGGCTGGGAGCCCCGGTTCCTGGGAGCCACGCACAGAGGGTCTCAGGCCCCGCCTCCTCCCTGGCTGCCTGCAGAACACCCGCCCCGCGCTATTATGAAACACTGTGTCGGGGGAAGGCACACGTGCAGCGCTATTCGGCAACTAGGCGGTGCGCTTCTAAAGCGTTCTGTTGTTGTGCACTTCACCTGGGGCTGCGGTGCACCTGGAACGCCCGCGCCTCGGGAGCAGGGAGCCCGGCGGTTTCGACGGCTGCCCATCCCCCGCGACGGCCAGCAGTGTTGCCAGTTTCCTGGGCTCACTGCAACAACATGCCCCACACCTGGTGGCCTGAACAACAGAAACTGACTCTCTCCTAGCGCTGGAGGCCTGCCGTCCAGAAGCCGCTCCACGAGTCCAAGTCAAGGTGGCAGCAGGGCCCACTCCTGCCGGAGGCTTCCGGTGGCCGCCACATTCCTCGGCTCCTGCCGGCGTCTCTCCAAGCTCTGTCTCCCTGGCCACATCACTGTCTGCTCCTCGGTGCAAGTCTCCCCCAGCCTCTCTCATAAAAGGACACCTGTTGGTTGCATTTAGCCCAATAACCCAGGATCATCTCATCCCAAAATCCTGAATTTCATCCCACTGCAAAGATTCTTTGTCCACATAAGGTCACGTTCACGGGTTCCGGGGATTAGGGCATTTGGGGACCAGTATTCAGCCTATCACAGGGGCGCGGTTCACAGGTGTGGTGAACAGGCCCTGCTGCCGGGTGTGTTTGTGTGGTCTTCGCATGACCTGTTTCATGTATGAGGAGGACCCCTCCAAAAAAGCATGGAATTACCTTCTGGAGGACAGGCCCCTTGTAGCCCAGGCTTCCCCCGCTAGGGGTGTGCTCTAGCAACCCATCTGTGTCCACGCACCAGCTGGCGTGGTTGTGAGAGGCTGGGCTCGGCTGCAGTGAATCTTTTTTGGAAGACTAAACGCATTTGCCCATTTCATGGGTGACTTACAAGCGCACCTGCCCACATCATGCTGAGTGTTCTACAGTTTTTGACCAAAAACAGCGTGACCCCTGTGCCCCACCCCCCCTATTTACCCCATATTGCCCTAAGCGATTTTTTTGGTTGTTTTCCCAGAATGGAAAGTCCTCAAAGGGAAACATTTTGCTGATGTGGAAGAGGTGAAACAAAATAACTGCAGAAGCACTCAAAGGTATCCAAATTGAGAGTTCAAAAACTGTTTTGAAGAGTGGAATAAAACATCTGGATAGGTGTGTTGCATCAAACAGAGACAACTTTGAAGATGACTGAGGTTTAAACACTTAACAATACACAATTTTTTATAAGTAATTTCTGTTTTGGGGGGCGGTCCCCCCTTGCATGCTTTAGAACTTAGTCTCCTTCCGAGCAAGCGGAAAGCCTCCAGCCTCCTGGTGGTCAGTGTGTGCCCTGCGGAGGGGGCCTGGAGGGGGCCGTGCGGGCCTGCGCGCCCCGCCCTGTGTGCCCCGCCCTGCACCAGCCTGGACCGCACACCCCCAGGGCCTCCGGCGGAAGGGCTGTCAGCCACGCCAACTCCCTCCCCCTGGTCTGCGGTGCAGGAGCTACTATCATCGCCGTTTGTCAGATGGGGTGAACCGAGGCACAGGAAGATCATGGAACTTGCTCGGGTGTGGGGGAACCAAGGTTCAAACCCACACCTGCGCTTACAGCCGCTGTTCATGTGGCCTCGGCGGGCGAGTGGCTGGTTCAGTCCTCAGGTGACCCTGTCGGGCGGGGCCCCTCGCCTTCCCCGGTTCACGGGTGAGGACACAGGCCCATGGAGGTCGCTGGGGCCGGGTGCCACAGCCCTGGTGCCCAGCCGCACACTCTGCCGCCCGCCGGACAGCACCGCTCCAACCTCACAGCAGCTGGCGGCAGGGCAGCCCCTCCGGCTGAGCACCATGCCCGGGTGAGCCTCCGCCTCCGCACACCAGCCTGGGGGCAGGGCACCTTTTAAAGACACACGGTTCTGCAGTGAGGGGGAACAAAAGGGTTTAGGTTATCAGCTGAGCAAGATAAACCAACAAGAGCTCTTTTTGTTTGAAAACCAAAACCACCTACCAGCCAAGCTTAGGGATCTGTTCCTTCGCGGCCTCGTGCAATCGGGGGAAAAGCACACAGGGGAAAGAGCACATCCGCGTGAGCAGAGAGCGAGAGGACGCCTCTGGTGAGCGATTCGGCTGCATAAGGTCGCGCCCAGAGCTAAGAAATGCTGCTGTGTCCTCAGCACGGAAGCTCCAGCAGGAAGCACTGGGCGCTGGAGTCGGGGGGACCGAGAGGCGATCCCAAGTCTCCCGCTTGCCACTTGTGAGACTCTGGACAAGTTATTTTGCATCCAACGAACCTCTAGCAAAGTAGGGTGAGGGCTTTAAAACGCAGGGCACCCCCCCACCCACCCCCGGCCATGCCTGGCACCTCCAAGCGATGCCTGTTCGGGTCCAGGCTCAGCGAGTGAGTCCGCAACCAAACCTTGCACCACTGGCCCTGCTTCCCTTTCGCCCTTCGAGGGAAACCCTTCTCTTTGTCACCAGGCGTGAGAGGAGGCTCATCTTAAGATGCTTCGCTCAAAGGACACGTGGTTGGGGCCTTCGAGGCCACTTGCCGCGAGCGAGTGATGCCAAGCAGCCTCTCCCGCGGGTGCGCGGCAACGGGAGGCCGGGCGGGCGGGCAGCCCAGGGCCGCCTCGGGAGTGGCCGCGTGCGGTGCGCTGTGGGGCGCACACGATGGGCCACGACGACAGTGACACTGTGTGAGGCGAAAGGCCCTCTGGTGGCGCTGTCCTCCTTCCGGGTTGGCTGAGGGAAGACCCACTGCACTGGCCCTCGCGTCACCAGTGACATCGTCCTCCTCCCTGGGGGCTGGTGACCCCAGGTCGCAGGCGCCACCCCGGCCCGCCCGCAGGTACCCAGGCCCGCGGGGCCAGAGGCCGCGCCAGGCTGCACTCCTGGCCTCGCTCGGGTCAGCCAAGCCCCTGGTGCACATCTGACAAGCGACACCAGGCTGTGAGGAGCGGGGACCCCACCTCAGAGCTTCAAACAAAGTAGACGGCACCCCCACCCCCACCCCCACCCGTGGCAGTGCAGGGCTCGCACGATGGACCCAAGGCCCTCAGACGCCTGCTTCGCTCCCCTGTCCCAGACCCGGTCCGCTCAGTCCCTCCGCTGGGGGAAAGGCTGAGGTGCCCCGCCCACCCCGCGCACGGCCCCGCCTCCACCCCGGACACAGGCAGAAGGGCCCCCGCGGGAGGAAGAGGAGGGCGAAGCACGGGGGCCCCTGCGTGTTGCCCACCCTGCAGCCCGGCCCGGTGTGGGCCTCAGACCTCACGGCGCGCACCGCTCCGGGCGTGTGCGCCTGTGCGGTGTGACAGACGCATGCACACACGCTCTCCGCTTTGGCCTCTTCTAAAGAGCACAGACACCCTTTTTTACAAAGGCATTTTATTTTACTCAAGAAAACATGGTTCTTTGAAAAGCAACAGTTCACATCATTTTACGTGAAAGCTAAAAGCTAGAAGCTTATCTTCTGACACATCACTCAGCAACCAGAACGCCGCCTCCTCCTCCTGGGCCGGAGTCCACGAGCCGCCCTGCCAGCGCGAGGCCTAGGAAAGAGGACGCGAGGGGCAGCAGGGGCGTCTGCGAGGGCAACGCCACCGCCTCGCTCGGCAGGACGCAAGCGCCGGCCGTTCGGGCTCGACGCAAACCACCGCAGCTCACCTGCTAATAAATGTGCTTTTTTTCCCTTTCAGAGATGATTTTAGTTTCCTCCTGTACTTCCAACCTCACAATTTTCCTTCCATTGAAAAGTCCCTTCTGTTCAAGGCCAGGTTCCAGCGAGCTGGCAGCCTCGCAGGGGGCCGACTCCCACTGCCCGCGGCCCCCGGTGCGGCCTCTGGGCCCCGTGAAGGGAGGGCTGTGGGCGGCAGGCCGGTCCTTCCCCTCCCCGGCGTCACACACACAAAACCCACTCGGTGACGCTCCGGGCAAGCAGCCTCCCCCGCCCTCTCACTGGGACACGCTACCTCCGTCCCCACTCGAGCGCCTCCCAGTGAGGACAGGGAGGGACAAGCCGGTGCTGCCTGCCCGGGCGAGGGACACGCCACGCGGCTCGGTGAGCAGGGGTCCGCTCTGCACACGGACACTGGGGCCGTCCCCCCACCTGCACGGGTTTGCCCGCGGGGTCAGGAGGAGGGACAGGCAGCTGGGAGTGAGACGCGTGACAAAGCACGAGCGCCTGGTGACGGCTCCGTCAGGGCCACGACTGTCCTTAGTAAGTTTGCCTTCCCCCCCAGCAAGCCCACAACACTGCCGGGGAATCCACGCCTTCCCACGCGGGGCCTCCCGGGCGGACGGGGCTTTGGAAGCCCCCAGCCCTGGGGCTCCCTGAGCCGCCTGCTGCTGAGAGGAGGGCGGGCTTTCAAAAGAACCGGTGTCCCCCCCGCCCGTAAGGGAGCCTCTTGTAGCAGAGGCCCAGGAGCAGGCCCTTTCACGGGCCACCCAGCAGACAGTGCCACCCGCAGCCAGGCTGGGGAGCCCCGCGCAGGAGGCCTGCCCGCAGCCGGGCCTCTCCTGGCTGGAGCGGCGACTCAGGCCCCACCCTGGTGGATGGGGAGCCTGGGCTGCCGGCGGTCACCTGTGCAGCCTGCAACGGGGCTGGGGGACGGCCCCCTGGGCTCAACGCCACAAGCCGCCCGGGCGCCTCGGGGTGCGCTGTGGCGGGCGCTGGCCGGAGGTCCTCGGGAAGAGCCCTCTGGCCCGGGAGCAAAGGCCATGCGAGCGGCGTGGACGTCCGCTGCAGCCAAAGAACACCCTGCAGGGGCTGCACAGCAAAGGGACGAGGCGACCGGGAACAAGGACACAGCGAAAGGGACTTCTGTGCCGTACCCAGAAGTCAGACTTCACCCTGAAAGAGGCAGCAGGGTCCCTCAGTCCCGGGTGCGGGAGGGGTTTCACAGGGCCCGACCCTGTGGGCAGTGCCGGGAGCAAAGGTAGCTGTTTGTACGCGCGCTTCCCCGCGGAGGCCCGCAACGTCCGCGGGCCTCTCCCGGGCCCGGGGCCCCACACCTGCTCGGCACCCCTGCCCCAGTGAGGGAGGCCGCGCAGGCTGGGCGCGCACTGCCCACGGGCCCCCGGCGGGCGTGCGACAGGCGCGGGGTCGGGGCCTGCGCTCCAGCCTCACGCTGACGACAGGTGCGGCCACGGCGCCCCGGCCGCAGCCCCGAGGGATGCGCTTCTCTGACCCGTGGCCCTGCCTGGCCTGCCCCAACCCCGGGCATCTCCCACCTGCAAAGCCCTGTACCTTCAGCTTCCCTCTAGTGGTCTTTCTTCTCTGATTGCTTCTTTTCAGCTTCCAGTTGTTGCCGCTTTGCTTCCAGCCTTTTCCTTTGGTAGATCTTGATTCCGGCAAAGGCCAGGCAGAGAATCAATGTCTTCGCTGCCAAGATGTACAGCAGCAGAGGCACGTGTTCCAGAACCTTGGAGAGGAAAGAAGCCGTTCTGGACGTGCCGCGCCGATGAGGCGCGCGCGCGGTTCTTCGTCCAGCACCTACTGTGCACTTGGTACGCGGCGGCACTAGGCTAGAACAGACAGGCCTGTCCCGCGTCATGGACAGTCTAGTCTTGGCTCTGCGCCACCCCCCCCCGCCCCCTTGCTCTGCCCGCAGACGGCCAGCCTCCCCACCCTGACTGCGCGCTGGGCCTGGCGCCCAGGCCTCCGCAGCGAGGCAGCGGTGCAGTCCGACGGCAGGCGCGCGGCCGGGGGCCTGGGAAGCGGCTCCGCTCTGCCCCCAACAGAGCGAGCGACTGGGGGCGCCGCCTGACTGTCCGAGCTCGGCCTCTTCACCTTCGAGGGGGCTGGACCCCACCTTCCCTCTAGGCTCTCCCGCGTGAGTGCACACTCTGCGATTCCCTCTCGGTTCCCACCGCGCTAGCCCTGGCCCTCGAAGGTACAATATGGAAATAACGCGCCAGGACTCCAGCCTGTAGCACAGGCTACAGCCCAGTCTGGGGAGCGACTATGGGTTTGCATGGCTCGCTCTCTGCACCACTGGGTTTGATGGTAAAATTCTACATAGAACAACAGTATCACAGGCAAATCCTATACTAGTTTCGCAAACATGATCTGAATGATGACTATGAGCCTTCTGTGTGATTAGAAATTCCTTCCCAGATGAAGCAAAAAGATATGCTTTGGGACTAGGCAGGGTTCATGGCAATGAAATCATTAGGTGGAACCACCAACGTCACTTACGGTCTGTAATCCCGAAACAAAATGCTACCACAGGGAGCACATGGGTCTCTGAGTCTCCGAGTTTAACTCACGCTGATCGGAGACTACTCAGGGAAGGCGCAGCCAAGAACAGCACGCTCGGAGGCCTGGAGGCAGGAGGGACTTCAAGGGGACTCCGCCCAGCGCCTGGCTTTGCACACGCGGGAGCAAGGCTGCAGGCGGCGGAGGCCCACGCGCCGCACGCAGCGGTCGGACGGGGCCAGGCCGCGGTGGAGCCCTCGGGCCCCTGGCCGGTCTCCTGCCACTGGCTCCTGATGTTCCGTGAAAGGGAATACAATCTCAAACTATGTACCTATATGGTCCCGTAATTTTATTCAAAATGTGTTATGACTCAGACCTAGACGCAGACTCTGCGTTTAGAAGATGCAGCACCAGTTACCACCCCCAGAGAACGAGCCACGCGCTGCGCCGGCACCTTCCCGTCCGTCATCATACTGTCCCCAGAGGCAGCGGGCTGTCCCGTGGGCCAGCAAGGGCTGGGGTCCGACGGCCTTCCGACTGCTGGAGAGCCCCCCTCGGACACCACGCTGCTGTCACCGACCGGACGCTGCCCCGGGCCCTCGCCGAGCCCGCGGTGAAACGGGCGAGCGGGCACGTGCTTCCAGCCGGACCTGCTGAATGCGGCTGGGGCCGCCGCACGCAGAGTCACTGCCCTGGCCGCCCAGGGGCAGCTGAGGAGGCTGCTACGTGACGCCACAGGGACACGACGGAAACTGGGAGCAGGAACCAGGGATTTCAGTGGTTCTCATTTCACGGACACAGGAAGGAAGGACGCAAGAACACGCGAGTGACCGGGCGGCCGCTCCCGACCTGGCAATTGCGTCCACAGTAGCGGAGGACCACGGCCGACCCGCTCGGGAGGGTCGCTCTCGCAAGAGCATCAGAGTCCAGAACTGACAACAACGAAACGCTTTGTCCAGACAGACAGAAGCGGCTCAGGACGCCGGCGTGGTTTCCAGGCCCTTCCTCCCTCAGACCTACGGCGAACCTCCCTGTCCTCCCCAAATCACCCTCTGATCCATCTGTTCTGGAAGGTCCTCCTCTGGACTCCAGGTGAATAAACCAGCTATGAAAGAAAGGAATGTTCAACATTCCCTTCTTTTACCTCCTTGGAGGCAAAATCACCAGTCTGTTGATACAAACAAACCTCCCTTTGCCTCTGCCAGAAGTTTCTAGCTCACTGAGCACTGACCGATAATGGGAAAAACCGCTCTCTCTGCTGACATTTCTGCAGGCGGGCCGGTCAGTCTGCGTGCGGCGGCCCCCATGGCGACCCCACAGCTTCGCCCGCGCAGGTGCAGGCAGAGCCAGAAAGCCTGCTCAGGTAGCGGCGGCCAGTGCCCACAGAGCCGGGGAGGTGGCCCCTGTGTCCACGTCCTTCTCCGAGGCTCCGGAGCAGAGGCGGCAGGAGGCTGTGTCTCGGGGCCCAGGGGGCGGAGCAGGGGCCAAGGGCACCACAAGGGCGGGTGCCGGGTTTCCACAGTCCCTGCCTCTCGGGCACTAAGCTCCAGTTGGGGTAACTCTCCTTTTTGATTTCTAACAAATCCCGTCTACTAACTCTCAGGAAGTGCAGAGCCTCAAGGGGGTAAAGGAGGCAATCGCTGCCGGGCGGACCTGAGCCCCACCCACCGTGGAAACTGAGCGGACACCAGAGCTGTGACAGTAGCTGGCTCCTGCCCGACCAGGCCACGCTCCGCGGCCAACGCACCGGCAGTGCCAGGGGCTGCCGATGTCCGCGGTTCCCGGAGCCACCGAGGGAAGGCCACGGGACGCCCTGGGCTCGAGCCTGGGGACAGGCCATTCTTCCGGGACCCTGAGGGACGGGCCCCCTTTGAATCACAAGGGCGCTCCCCGGCGCAGTCGGCTCGCAGTTGGGGAGGTCTGGGCAGATTCTGTTACGGACCAGGAAGGGCTCCCCTTGGCACAAGCAGGATCTGCACCGGCGGTCAAGGGGACTTGGGGACCCCAGGCCTAGCAACTGGGAACTCGAGGGGCGGGACCCTCCTCTCCGGCGAGAGCACCACTGCTCACCTCGGGGCATCAGGGGGACCCTCTGACCCTTGGCGACAGCGCCTGCCCTGTCATCCCGACGACCACAGGCTCCACACGGGGGAGGAGCTGCGCCCGGCGGACCTCCCTCTGCACCCACCGCTCTCAGCCTGCTCCCCACCCAGCCTCTCCGGCGGCAGCCCTGGGGCCCGGCGCCGAACAACCGCTCCCCCAGGTCCACCGCCCCAGCACCCCCTCGCTGCCACCTTAACCGGGACTAGGCTCGCCCTGGAGAGCCGCCCCGATGCCCCGTGCCCCGAGGAGCTGGGAAGTCGGGGGTCTGCACGTTCCCAGCTCCCCGATTCTGCTTTGAGACCTTTTCCGGTCTCCTTGCAATAGAAACCTCGGGACTGCTCTGAAAAAGGAAATGTTTACAATAACTGAAAAAAAATACATACAAGATCCTAAGTGTGCGCGCGCGCACACACTCCTTACATATATAAAAACATACACCAAAACTGTTCACAGCACCTCTCTGGATGGTATGACGATGCATGATTTCTACTTTTCAAAGCATCTGTGATTACACATATTTTCGTGGCTGTCCTGTCGCCAGCCTCCAGCCCCCCTGCCTGCTTCAGGGGCCTAACGGGACACGGGAGCCTCCTTTCCCATAGGCGCAGGCTCCTCTGTGCTTGCCCTTGAACTTCTGCTCCCAGCAGCCGAGCCTCACGTTTTACAGGGCTCGGCGGTGCTTGCTCCCCGGCTGGGTGAAGTTGTCTTTGATGTGACAGTAGGGGACTTATCTACACGTGACACTTAAGAAGTATGACTACATACAGAAGGCGGTTTCCATGAAAACCAAGGGGAAGGCTCTCGTTGCATTTTCAAGTTTGAACTGGGGAAAAAAAAACCCCACTTGTTGGCAACACACGTGCAAAAGATTAGGGAAGCAGAGCGTAACAGTCTGGAAAGATTTTGTATGCAGATTGTTTCATAAGGTCTTAATCCATTTTAAAGGAACCCAAACGTGAAGTTGTAAGCGGCTTTAAAGCGCAAGAAAAGGGAGGCAGGCCTGGTAAGGTGAGCGCCCGCAGGGAGCCGGCCTCGCCCCCCCAGGAGGCTGGTGAGTGCGCGCACACCTGTACGTTTCCCCTTAGAGTACAATGTTAGCTAGTATTGCAATTCCTGCTTGAGGCTACTTCTCCTTATTCTGATTTTTCACAATCAGGAGAGAGAAAAAACCTGAGCCACCAATGTCTAAAACGACTGTCACCTTCCAGTTCATGCTGGACCAACTGAGAAGTCACTCCTGGTCAATGCAGAGCTGTGGACACGCGCATGAGGAAGAGGAGCCGGAAGGCCAGGCCGCGCTGGGCTGGAGGGAAGAGAGGAGTCGGTAAGCAGGCCTTTCCAGGGCACCCGCCCCAGGAAGCCTTCTCCCAGGGCGGGCGGCACGGGACCCAGCAGCCAGCCTCGCGTGCCGTCTAGAACACCCCCTAAAGGTGAGGGAGGCCCAGGGACAGCGAGGCAGGACGGGACAAGGCAGGGACCCAGCGGGGCGCAGGCTTCGCTCTGAGGCTGCACCTGTTGCTCTTCTTAGACCGGGACACTTACCCCAAGAGGCGGGAGGCTTGACCTCTGGATGAAGAAACTACGCACTCTGGTAAGTGGCCTCCCTCTTGGGGCCTCCGTCCATCTGTAAATGAAGACACGGGGTGTCAACTCCATGCGCTCAGGGCCCCCCTTTTTCTGAAATTCGGAGACGTCCAGCACTGTAAGCAGAGCTTCCCTTTGTGGTGCCCAGCCAGGTGGCAGCCAGCAAGTGCACCGGCTCGGCTGGCTTTGGGTGAGGGGCACTCCAGTCTACGCTCCAGGGGCTGGGCCCAGGGAGCCTGAGACTCGTCCTGGGCCCCGCAGTGGGGAACCGGGACTCCCCCACTCCCAGCTGCCCCCAGTCCTACCCTGAGGCAGGCTGGGAGCTTTTCTTTCAATACACTTACAACTCCAATGAGGAAAAACAGAAGGAAGTTTCACAGGCCTTTAGAATGGTGCCAGTAAGATGGGCTTTGGGGACGATGTTTGGTAAGAACTTTCACTTACAAAAGCACCTAAATGGGAAAAGTTCATACCTCATCTATTCAAGGTCACGGTATCTGGAAAACAAGCTGGCAGTTGGCACAAGATAGTCAAGATTTCCCCATGACTTTTTCAAAGTCAGATAAGCTAGTGATAGGAATTCACGCCATGAATCTGTTTGTCTCTAAGTCGCAGCAGAGTCCAACCTGCACTGAAGAAATACGCTCCTCACAGGTTATGACCTGTTGCTATAATTTCCACTTGGAGTAATCGCTAATAATCTCGGGGATTAGCCATGTTGTATACTGAAATAAAATGTTCAAGGCTGTGTAAAGTTTATTTTTACAACTCCTTTATCGAGTTGTGCACACACAGCAGGAGAGTCTGGCTGCCCCTCACCGCACACCGAAGGGGCTGATGTAAGATACCGATTTCCAAAGCCAAGGGCAACAAAGAGGTCCAAAAGACGTAGAGCAGGAAATGAATTAAAAAGATCGCCAGTGCTGTGGCTTTCTGGCAAACGCAAAGAGTCCTCACCTAACATGGCCATTGGTTCTGCGACTTTAAGCAAAATGACATGAGATGAAACCAATGTTACAACAGGCTCATAATGTAACTAACATTCCATTCCAACAACACTGACACATAATGTGACTAACATTACGTTCCAACAACATCTCATCCATGTTACTGGGAGACAACACTGAACACAGAGACATTATTGCATGGTCTGCTGTACTATGGTGACTACTGGGGTGACCCTGGACGGGTCACTTGGCCTCCCTCAAGCCTCAGTTCTCTCACCTGTGAACTCTCCTTCGCGCCTGGATGGTGCACACTAAGCACCATGCTCAGCGCGTGGAAAGGATTAGATGAACTGCAGCCCTTACCGCTATGACAAATACCTCTCCTTCCTTCCACTGACGGCCAAGCCGAAGAAATAAGCACGCGGTATCCAGGGCAAAATGCAGTCACCGCAAGACAGCAGGCAGGTACAAAAAGCCAGAGGGCCAGGGGAACTGGCATCTGGACCCAAGGCTTGGTGGCACGGAGGGCTGGACATGTGACCTGGGGCAAGTCATGAACCTCTTTGAACCGAAGTGTTCTCGTTTCTGAAACCGGACTCTAAAGAACGCTTCGGCAACTCTGGAACTGGGAAGTCGCCGTTCTCTCGGGTATCACAGAATCGGACTGTAAAAATATACCGGACGCTGCCCCGACTTCATCCCTAGAGTGAGAAGATTCAAGCTCTTTAGGAAAGAAACACTGAGAGTCAATCTGCAAACAGCCGAGGGGTGCGGTCCGGGAGGAAGGCCAAGCGCAGGTCGGCGCGGCTGCCTCTCACCACCGCCCCCAAGGCACGGGCTCCCATCTCCCTTGATTCCAGGCTCCAGCCCGGCCACGGCTGTCGCGCTCTGCAGGGCTGCGGCGGATGAGAACCCGGAGAGCTAAAAACAGCAGCAGGCTGTCTGGCCCCCGCCCTGTACACACCTGATGCAAAATTAGAAACGGGGCAGCTGGTGTCTGAGAAGGGAACTGCGACGCCAACAACAGGCGGACAGTTTTGAGGCGTAAAGTCAATCTAAGAAGTGCAGGAAATTGTCAGCTTCCCCTGGAACTATTCACTCTGGGCTGAAAACTCAACAGTAATGGCTTAGATAGAAATAGCTGTCTCCTTTACTGCAAAAATATCCTGATTTTTTTTCCTTGGCCAGATTTCTCAAAAAACAGAAAAGCTATTCACTGATAAAGCAACATGGACCACGTACTGTCCGGAATCTCTTGTCCCTTCTTGGCGCACCTGGCAAACGCAAGGGGGTCTCAGCCTCTCCGAGTCTACACTCAGGCCTGCCACTAATCAGGCTGCGTCCTTAGTTGGAGCTTCCTGAAGCTGTTCTCGGTCCCAGTCTCCCCCCTTTTCACCCCAACCCTTCACCCAGTCACCTCAAGTAGGTGTGAGGAGGATGGGCTTCCAGGTGAACCTTGGGCATCTCTTGGGGAACCTGGGAGGGGGGTGGGGGGGGGCCTCCCGAGTCAGCAGGGGTTCTCTGGCCTGAGGGGCAGCATCTCAGTTGCTTTGTAATCTGACCACGGTCCCCGCGTGCCCGACACGTGGGGAGCAACACCTGCCCAGCTCCTACCCGAGGACGAGGGCCAAGAGCGGTCACTGCCTCTCCCACCGTCCATGGAACCAGGCGTCCAGAACGTTTGCCCGCGCTCCCCCCCCTAAAACCCTTCCAAGGCCAACAGCCTCTGTCTAGCACCCACTCCCGGCCCCTCCCGGGCTGCGCGCCAGCCCAAACACGCCGCCTCCGGCCCTGGTCGGCGGGCTTCGCGGCGCCGGACGGCCCAGCCAAGTAGGCAAGCGGCTGGCGGCCGTCGCGGCCATCACCCTCCGGACCCTACCCGGGGAGCCGGCGCCGCGCGGCCGGGGGCCGACCAGTGGGCCTCCTGGAGAAGGCGCGAACGCGAGGTCGGCCCCCGGGCACCCCGGCTCCCCACTGAGCCCTCGGAGTCAGGACCTGCTGATTCCGACGTCACCCACTTACAGCTCCAAGGGACGGAAGCTGTGCGCCCGGCGGGGAAGCAAACCAGGGCTCCCGCAGCACCGCAGGGAAACTACACTTCCCGAAATGCACCGCTCCTCGCGCCGGCGCAGTGGGCCCGGGCGGCCCTCTTGGGCGCGGCGCTCCCCGCGCCGGCGCAATGGGCTCGGGAGGGCCCTCCCGGGCTCCGCGACGCAGGCCTGCGGCCCGTTCACCTTCCGAACTTGCCTTCCGCTAAGGACGGCGACTGCAGGGCGAGCGTCGCGCGTCTTCTCCGCCCCCAGCTGCGCTGCATCCCCTGGATGCTCCTCGCTGCAGTCGGCGACGGTGGACCCCGGGGTCCCCAGAAGTCCCCAAATTTAGCATCAGTGCATTCAGTTTCCTTTGGGAAGGTGGTGGGTGCCCCCCGCCCCCGACCCCGTGCTGGATTCCCAGATTCACGCGAGCAGAGCTAGAGCACACTCAGTCCCGGCCCACACGAGTGCGCCCCCGGACCTGGACACCCGGGTGTCTGAGGGGAGGCCCGAGCTCGGCTTCCCCTTAGGTGGCTGGACACTGGCGCAAGGGGAGAGTGACTGTCTCGGGCACGGACACATGGAGACGCAGTGCCAGCCTCTAGGGCGGAACCCAGGCAGCCTGATTCCAGACCCACCAGGACGTTCCGTGGTGATGAATTGCAACTGTTAGCAGTGCCCAGGAAAGGACAACCTGGGGGGCCGGGGGTTAGTTCTGTCCAGCCAAGTTTTCCTGTTCAAAGTGACAAAGTTGCTCTGTGTTAAGTAAGCACTTTGAGGCTCGTGCCTAATGATGGAAGTCTTCTAACAAGCCTGCAAAGGACATAGTATGACTACCAGCATTTCACAGGCGAGGAAATATAGACACAGGGAGATTAAGGCAGCTTGTCCAGGATTTAAAGACAGCAAGTGCCAGAGCTGGGACCTGACTCGCCGTCTGGACCCAGCTCTATCAGGGCAGCCAGCCTCCCTAGCAAATCGCCCCGACCTCTCAGCAGTAAGTGGGACGCAGGTCTTCTGGTGCCGGCCGATGGAGCAGAGGGAACTGTAGGAGCGAGCAGGGTGGGAAAGTTGCTTGAACTGGCATTTTTAGTTTCGGGGTGGAAGTGGCAAGGCTGGGTTTGGTGGGGATTGAGGCTGGAGGGGTGAACAGGGGCAGATGGTTTCCACAACTGTACCCCCAACGTCCTTGGAAGGATTCCACGTGTCTCCCATTTCCCCAAAGTCAAGTCGGATGACAGCCATGTATCCTGTGTTGGTAGCATGCACTTTCAGTGATGATAAAATGTGCTTAATTTTTTTTTTAAGTAAATCCCTCGTACCCCACCCCCACATTTGTTTCATGCATCAAAGATAAAGGAAGCTGGACACTCAGGAAGGTGTTAAGAATAAACTTTATTCTGTAACTATTACCATAGGGAGGAAGGCCCAGCATGAACTAACCTCAGCTTTGATCGGGGCAGAGGTAACTGGGCATTTTAAAGGGAAGCTGAGGGGCGGGGCACTTGAGCAGAATTAGGAAGTGGAAATTTACAAAAAGCGAGGAATGGGTCCCCCTGAGCAGGGTTTGTTGATGGGCCGTCACCTGGAGGAGAGAGGCTTCTCTCTTGAGGGTGGGGGGCAGTGTTGCAAGTGGGAGTGAGCAGTTCAGGGAGGGGTCACCTCCTGGGATGTCCTCGCCTTTCAAAGAGGCAAGGCCGTTCTGGGCAGCCAAAGATCTACATCCCAAAGGTGGGGACAAAGGATTTATAGCTGCCAGCTGCTCTGGGCACGTCCGGAGGGGCGTTGTGTGCAACGGCATTTCTGGGCTGTGACCTGAGCAGGGAAGCCGCTCTCGCCCCGTCGGCCCTTGGAGGACGTGTGGCTTCGCTACCACTGCGTTCAGTGCTTCTGCTGGTGCGGCCGGAGCGCTCGCGGGGAGGCCCGGGGGTCCGGCTTCCTGTCATCATGCGACAGAGTATTCAGGAGCGAGACAGAGATTCGGCGAAGCACAGCAGGTTATTAAAGTGACAGCGTGCACTCAAGAAGGAGGGGCGTGAGGGCAGAGGCCGAGCGAGCCGCGCCGGCGGGGCCTGGGTGGAGGTGTTTACTAGCTGTGGGCATGGGGAGGGTGAGGGGTGGATTGTGGTCTCTGACGCGGAGGCAGGCGCGGTCGTCCCCACAGTTCACCTCAGTTCCCCCTCTCTGGACGTGGTGCGGTGATCCAGTGGGCGGAGTGGCTCCGAAAGGGCAACAGAAGTCAACATGGCTGCCACCTCTGGCTGAGGCCGGTTTTTATTTGTCTCAACAATTTCTGGCCCCGGGAATTTGGGAGGAGAGCAACGAGGAGACAGGTGTCTAGCCACAAGCCGAGTCCACAGTGTTGTGGCTTTGAAGGGGAGGGGAGGGGGCCAGCCTGGGGCCTGTGTTCCCTCACTTAACTTTCCTGCCTCAGGAAACTGCCTTGTGACCGCACACGAGCTATTAGGAAACCGATCCCTTGTCTACATCTCACTCGAACACATCCACCCCGGGACCAGAGGCCTCCTCCCCGTGGCACTGAGTAGATGCGGAGGAGGGAGAGGGGAGAGCTTAGCCAGGAGGCCTGAGGCTTCCGGAAGCCCTGGCCGCAGGCACGGTCTGGCGGCTGAGCTCCCACTCCGAGCTCCTCCGCGCGAGTGGACTGAGGCCCCATTAGGCACCCCCTCCTGTCCTGCATTTGCATTGATCTCTGTGGTAACCCTGTCACGTTATGTCATTGTGCCGTTTCCAGGTCTGACCTCCTTCGTGCTGCCGGGTCGAGGCCGGTGAGCCAGGGAGCCAGATGCTAGGTGTTGCTGCTTAAATTAACGAGTGAAGTCAGCTAATCTGGGGATTGCAGGCTCGTCATCTACAAACAGAACGGTCTGACAAGACCTCAACGACCTCCCAGGTGCCTTCCATGCCTCCGCAGCCTGCAACAGGGTGAGGGAGCCCCGCAGGACGGGTGGGAAGCCGTGGCTGTCCAGCTTTTCAACAGACATCGGCAATTCAGGCACTTTCTGTACCTTCTGTCTCTTCACACTTAAGATGAGTGATTGTAAGGAGAAGGAAATAAAACTGAGTGGGAAAAAAAGTGGTTTGTAAAGCAATGTCATACCTTTTATTATTTTCCCATAAAAATGAAAATCTTTTAAAAGGAAGTTTTCTGTAAAACTTCAAATGTTCATTAAAGAATATGTTTGCCCTGGGGAGTTCTTTTTTTTTCTTTAACATTTTATTTATTTATTTACTTTTAGAGAGAGGGGAAGGGAGGGAGAAAGAGAGGGAGAAAAACATCCATGTGTGGTTGCCTCTCGTGTGCACCCCCTACAGGGGACCTGGCCTGCAACCCAGGCCTGCGCCCTGACTGGGAATTGAACCAACAACGCTTTGGTTCCTAGGCTGGCACTTAACCCACTGAGCAACACCAGCCAGGGCAAGCCCTGGGGCGTTCTTAAAGATGCTCCTCCTCTGTTGTGGACTGGCTGGATGCGTGTTCTGTCTTCAGACTTCCAAATGAGTGAAATGCCAGGAAAAACAGTACATGTGATGTGACCCCGTGGTTCTGTTCATTTCATTCCGACTCTACACTGATGAATTCATCGATAAACACTCCTATGTCAGTCTGGTGAGCAAGTAGTGGATTTTGAACGTCAGAGTCAGAGTAATACATCCTATTGATAAATTGGACCAGTCGCATACAAAATAACATCTCATGAGGCAGGAAATTCAGGGCCTTGCACATCTCTCCTTCCGCCCCGCCACCGCCCCCACGGCCCCGGCGCTTTGCTTCTGGTTGGGCCGTATTTCCACTATTGACGTCGATTAAAATGGCAATTCCATGGCACAAAAAGTAAAGAAGTCTTCAGCCCCAAACCTTGTTCCAACGAGCAAGCACCGGTCCCTGAGATGGAGACGTCACCTGTCTTAGGTAACCGACCACGTGACGTCCAGGAAAAGTCCCGGCAGAGAGCGAGGAACTTGGTGTCTCCCCAGCAACGACCGTTGGGGTTTGCTCTGTGGCACGAGCGTGTCCTCACGTCTGGGTGTCAGAGGTCAGCCTCCTCGCTTGTCAAGGGGACATCGGGAACCCCGCCGCACCGAGGTTCTCGTGGACGGTGGCCCTGGACTCTTCCAGACTCAGAATCTGGTTCTTGTCCTTGGCCTGCCAGTCGTCCACGATGTACTGGTGGTAGGGGTCGTTGGAGTGCTCCCGCCGCTTGGACTTCACGGTGCTCACCAGGATGGCCACGACGATGAAGGAGAACATGCCGATCATCACCATGAGGTACAGAATGACGTAGTAGAAGTTCTCGGCCTCCACCCGGGCCTGAAGGGCATCCTGCTCTGCTGTCGTGTTCTTGCGCCAATTGTCCATGTACGTGACGAAGATCCTCCTGAAGGCGTCTTCCAGCGTCTGTGTCAGGTTGGCCAAGGCAGGCATGTTGCCCTCCTGCCGCAAAGTGAATAGTAAAACAGATGAACGCGCTTCTTTAGAAAGGGATCCTTTCTGCGTGTGCCTACGATAAGGGATGCTGGGAGGGGCATGCAAGAGGGAAAGTGAGGTTATTCCTCAGCCCAGCTGGCGCTCGATGGAGAGCCTAGTGTGTTATTCTTTCCACTTTTCATGATGCGTGTTTTGCACGCATGATATCTGACAAAGTTTAATGAAGGACAGGAAACTATACATGGTATCCCAATTTATATACGTAAATAAATGTATACGTGCATATGAAAGTGGAAAAAAGACTGGAAATAAATAGTTCAAAATGTTAACAGGGGATGGTATACTTAAAGAATATTTTTTTCTTCTTTATACCTCTCTCATGTTTCAAATTTTCATGAATAACCTTGCATTACTTTGTCGTAGAGCGCAGCAGCGACACAGTAGTTAGCGCGGTGCCTCGTTCACGACAGGCGTTGGGCAGACAGCAGCTGACAGAGGCCGTGGCTCGTGTACATTCCGTGTCTATTCCGGGACTTGTGAGGTGGAAGGCTGCACAGGGACGTGGGCAGCCTTTGGGATTTGGGTCCTACCCCACGTCTAGGCAGGGCTTTTTCCAAGTTTGCCGGAGAGAGGGCCACGTACGTCCATATTTGAAAGAAGTATTTGAGGTGAGAGATACAGAGAAACCACCTGGGACGTCAATGCGCTTCTCCCACCAGCTCCCCTCGCCGCCCTCCCGGTCCTTGCCCAGCCGCCAGCGTCTCTCACCAGGTGACACTGGGCGACACCACACCGCCCTCCCCAGAGCCACCCCTCGGGTCACCCAGGCCCATCTGCCCTGCACAGCAGGCCACGTGCACTTTTAAAGAGGGAAATGACACCACGTCGTCCCCTTGATTTTGAAAACAGTACAGCACCTTCCTGTCGTTCTCCAGACCCTAACTCCTGCGGGTTCACCCCGCCCCGGCCGCCTCCGCAGGCACCCCGCCCTCCGCGGCCAGCCGGCCGCCTGGTCACACCGGCCTTGCTTCCCCCGCCCGTCACCGTTGTTCTCCTGCTGCGTGACATTTGCGCATCCTGTCCCCTTAAGCTGGGCTACCTGGCCCTGCTCGTTCCCCCGCCACCCGCTCGCCTTGCAGCCCCAGTCCCAGCGCAGCTGTCCCCGGGCCCTGCTCTCAGCCAGTCCCCGCCCCTCCATCTTTTCTCCAAGCATCTTCTTATTTCTCCTCCAAGCGGTCCGCAGTGCGTGATCATCCCGTGTGCGTACCGCTGGTGCGCGTGTGATTGTGGCTTTGGGGGCCCATCTTTCCCACGCGGCCGTCCTCGCCAAGGGGCAGGGCTTGCGCCGCCTTGGGCACAGCGAGGGGCTGGCACGCAGCCGGGCGCGCCGTGGACCACGGTGGGTCTGACGAGCCAGAGGGACACGGCAGGCTCCGCCAGGCACTGGCCGGGCGGTGGCGGGTGCAGGGATCGCGTGCGTGTGGGTGCTCAGGGGGGCGGCACAGGCACAACCATCGCCGCACAAGGGGCAAACAGTGGGGACGGGAGTGGACAACGTGACCCGGAGCTCAGAGGACGGAGCTGGGCGAGGTGCACGGGTGGAAACAGAGCCGGAGGAAGGCAGGCAGGAAGGAGCTGGTGGTTCGTGGGAACCGGCAGGTCCTTCCTGTCAGTAAAAACCCCGACGCCCGACCGCATGGGGGTTTGCCGGGGGCCCTGGGGAAGCAGCACCTCCTCTCTTAGCGTGTTCCTCTCCCTCCCTCCCCGGAAAGGGATGTTCCAGATCTCTGCCCCGCCCCGGGGAAGGGGCTCAAATACGCTTCCAGGACTTCCTCCCACAGACGAGTCTTCCCAACAGTTATGCTGAATCACTGTAGTGAGACGATAGTTTCCTCACTCTGATGTGTTAAGTTCTATTACTCAAGGAGCTCTCAGATCTCTTTCCCTCCAAGCCACACAAAGCCCGGTGGGTTGAAAAGAAACCTAACAGATACATTTGCCCCGAAGCACGCATCAAGCGCATTTCCTGAGCCGTGCCACAGAGATGCGCCCTTTCCCCTTAAAATGACACACTTCACCGTGACGAAGTGCAGCTGGGCTGGTTTTAGTCCAGCTCCAGACTCCACCACTGGCTCCCTCACCCTTGAAGAGACAAGATCTCCTCTTCTGGGGGGAATTTGCACCAGTTTCATCTTTCAAAAGACCCCTCCCCCCGCCCCATGCTATGCCAGGCCTGTCCGGTGAAGATGGGGCAGGTGGCCGTCCCTTTGTGTCCTCGCCCTCCGTCCGTCCCAGCCCTTCCCGACAGCTTCCTCCAGCAAAGAAAGCCGTCTGCGGCACCCGCGGGACAGAATTCCGTTTCTTTTTCGGGAAGCCCATTGAACGACGGGCTGTGCAGAGAGGCTGCTGGAAAAGCGCTGCGTTGACAAAGCACAGGGCTGCTGGCGGGGTAAGGAGCCCCCCGGGGGTGGGGGTGGGGTGGGGCTGCGTGTGGGGGGCCCTGACTCAGCGCCTGGGCACAGGTGGGACTGAGACGGGGAAGGAGCAGACCTCTCCCGGGCAGAAAGTTCGGTCCCCTGTGTGTTCTTCCTGAGCGGCCGGAATTGCTCGGGCAGCGCGTCTCTAAGCGATGGCAGCGTGTGCTGGGCCACGTGAGGCCCTGCCTTGCGTCTGGTTCCCCCAGAGCGCAGCTGGCTTTGCAAATCCTAAGTGACTGGAGCTCCTGCGCCCACCTGCTGGGGTCCCCCAGTGGAGGACGTCAAGTCCCAGTGTCACAGGAAAGGACAAGAGGACAGGCCACCCTCACCGCCAACACAGTCCGGTGAATGTCTTCACCAAAGCAGCCCGTCTGCTGCCCCCGCCTGTGGAAAGCCCAGGCGAGTGCCCAGACGCAGTCCCCCGCCCTGCGGGGCCCGGGAAACTGGGAACAGAGGACAAACGTCGCTGTGATGCTGTGCGAGATCCCCAGGACGGCAGCCGCAGGGGAGGCCTCCGACTCCACAGCTGCAATGGGGTGAGGCCCTTTCAGTGAGCTTGGGGGGGGGACGGGGGAGGGCCCAGGAGAGAGGACAGACCCCCGAGGTCACCTTGGTCTTGGAGGTGACTTTCTCTGAACGGCCTGTAGAAGGAGAAATGTAGTTGCTACAGGACAAAGGAGCTGTGTCTCCTGACTCCTGCGTACAGACGGCAGTTTGTTCCTGTCACCTGAGAGCCCCGGGCCGGGGACACCTGGTCCCCAGCTTCTCCCAGACCCCGAGGCTGTGCTGGAGAGCCCTTCTCAGAGCTGCTTCTGCAAACCGTCCTGTCTGTCTGTCTGCTTGTCTTCGGTGACTCATTTGTTGTGTGCTCACTTGTGTGACTCTGGAAACGCCTCTGTGACGTGGATTAGGCTTCCGGCTTGTGAAGGAGGGGACTGAGGCTGGGAGCGTGCGTCCCGGGGCTCCTGATGACTGGCCGCCTTGAGCGGCGGGAGGCGGGACTGCTGTCTTCGTCTTTGACCTTAGCGGACCGTTCCCACACGTTGGGTGCGTGAATGAGCGCTCCTCTCCCATGTGCTGTGGAATTCAACTGGAAACTACGAGGACAGTGACTTTTAACTTATTGGCAGGGGCAGAGAAAGGTAGGGTTTGCAGATCCCTTGAAAAATTTAAAAAATTTTTCATTTTATTGTTTTCCCCTTGAAAAATGTACATACGCACATATGAAGCTCTCTGTTCAGTTTCAGGGGCTCCCGGGCCCCCTAAAGCCCACCCAAGAATCTCTGCCAGGAAGTACCTTTGGTGCCGAGAGCCACAGGGCTTGGCTGGGTTCCTTTCGGGTGTGGGCATGGCAGCGTTCGCCAGCCTGTTAGAGCTGATACTGCTCATTATTTGTTCAGCTCTTCTAACGGGGACAAGGCCCGCTGCTGGGCAGATCGGGAGGTGCTTTCTGATAAGACTTAATCACAGACTGAACAGGTCCTAGGCGCTTGACCCCTGGCCAGGCTGAAAAGTCAAGTCCAAGGTGGATTCGCTTTTTGCACGCTGTTGCCTGAGCCGCGGCTGAGCAGCCGGTGGTCTGGCCCATAACCCCAGGAAGCAGCCAAACCACAGCCGTGAAAGCGATTCCATCGGCAGGCGTGCGGAAACATTCAGACTTGGTACGTTCCTGATACTCAGGATAACTCTTTCCCTGAGAGACACTGAGCATACTTGGAATACACACTTACCCCTTTTGTGAGCAGAACACCACACCAGGCGTTTAGTAACGCGAAGGCCACCGTTGTGTATGTTCCGTTAAACCAGGTGAAACTGCCATTTATGTAGGTGAAAGTGGCCGAATATTGGCACTTTTCACATGGTTCAAACTAATATTATTAATATATGTGGACCTATATATTTTGGATAGTTTCAATAAATAGTTCTTGCTTTAAAAACAAAAATAGCAGGTGGGCCCTTCGGGACGGCTGAGGCTGGCCTGCCGGTGCGGCAGGCGGAACGACCCCAGCCTACGCGTCCCAGGTCGCCGGGCTCGCGTGCTGGCCACGGTGCGAGGACAAGCGGCCCCGTCGCCCAGGCCGCTGGCCGCGCCCACCCTGTCCTGGCAGGGGCCGCACGCACAGCCTAACGACTCCCCGTTGTCATCGTCTGTGGCCGGCCAGCCCAGCCGGGCCAAAGAGTGAGACCCAGACCGCGGCTTGAGCGCATGTGTGTGTCGCTGCGTTGTCCTGTCTTCAGGACACACAAGGGCCACCTGTCTCCAGCTGCGCCGGCCACAGGTGTGTGTAATTCAGTACAAGGGCAGTAGGACGGTCCCAGGAAAGGGTCGCCCACCTGCTCTCCAAACCCAACGTTCTCCTTTGGGGAAAGACGGGGGATATTTAGCATCACCTGGGCCTACAAAAGGCAACACAGGCTTTCGTTTGTACATAAAGAATAGAAAAAGATACGATTATCTACAATTACCAGTGAAACTCCCATTAAAGACTCAAAATGTTCACCCAAAGGCGATTACTGAAGAAAGGAGGA